TTACAGTCCCTTAAAAATCCTTTTCTCAGGTGGGGCTATAGACATTTCCAGACACTCTCCTCCTCCCGGATAGCTAAGACAGCCAGTTAAGCTTTCGTCCCGCCAGACAACAAATGCTTTGGGCAGTGGTTTTGTTTTCTGAACCCCGTATGTGTCACTTACTGTATGTGGCTACTTCAGATTCTGCATTTCTTTTTGGTAGTTGCCACACTAGTATCATAAACCAGTCTGTACACACGGCAGGGGGGTTGGAACTAGATGATCTTAAGGTCCTTTTGAACCCTAACTATTCTATGATTCTGTGATAATGAGACTCTTGGCAGGTGTTAAATGCCATCCGGTGAAGGAAGGTGAGTACATCACAGATCAGTAGTTTCCACCCTGTAGACTTTCCTTGGACAGAATCTTGATGGTCCTGAGAGAGTGACTGAGAAAACCGAGCTGGCAAACTCTGCAGTTTCTAGATTGGTCTGAACACAAAGGGCCCATAAACCAGGAAAGGTTCACTGCAACTGTTACCAGGACCAAGGACATCCAACTTCTGGTGCATTCCTTCATCAGTAAATAAACTCGTTCAGATGGGCACAGACAGTCTGGCTTTTCCCCTCCTGTCGAAACTGAGCTGAAGTTTGTTCAGTTCCTAGGACTAAGGTAGGATGGGGAAGGACAGACCCTTTCTTCCATGTTTTAGTGTTCCTGTGTTTTTGTTTCAGGACAGTGCTTGCCATTGGCGTGTGCCAGCTGGATTGAGCACGTGTTATTTTTGCAGAGAGCTCTAGGGAGGTGTCATGTATATGCTGTTGCTCATGCAGCCAGCAGAGCTGATGTGCTGAACAGGGACAGGCTCTGCAGCCAGGAGAGCTGCTACCCCACAAAATGGGACTGGAAGTCAGTAGTCCTGGCTCCAAGTGTTCTGCTGTTTTACAATGTAGCTAGTCTCACAAGCACTTCCTAACGGATCTGCCAGAAATCATCTGTAAGTTGCCCTTTATCTCATCTGATGGGAAAAACACAGGTAGAAGCAGTCTGTGCAGTTGGGATCCTTATAAAGGATAGTCTGATGAGGTTCCATATGAACAGAATTTTACCAGTCAGTCTTCATGTTGTTAAAAAGGTTAAAATTTTGGAGTTCTGGATATACTAGGATTCCTCTGGTTTTCCTTGCGTGTGTGTATATATATATGTTCTGTATTTCCTGCTATGGCATCTTCCCTTTTGCTTTCCCCAGGTGACCCATACTGGTTAGAATAGACTCATTCTGGTGGAGACCTGGACTGTGCGAACTGCATAGTGACAGAGACGGTTCTCTTCGGTTACACCGTGAAGGCACGTGGTGGACAAGGCAGATGAAAGATGGGTGTGTTCAGCAGCTAAGGCAGTTTTTGTTGCTCTGGAACTGGAGTCTCATCTTGCCTCTGCCATAAAACCTCCTCCTGGTCAGGCCACACATACACGTGCACAGGTCCCCATGGGAATCACCAGTGAGAACACTCTCCCTTAGTAAGAGACTGTACAGTTAGGTGCTGAAACAAAAGCCCTCATACTTGGATGCAGGTGCCCACGGGTACATTGTGAAAAAGACGGATACAGAGTTTTAATGTACAGTTAAGGCTTAACTGAAGCTGCAGAACTCTGAATAGCAAGTTGACACACCGTAAATGGCACTGGGGGCTTGGTGGGAGGAAGAGAGCATAGTTTTATGGCTACGGATTTATGTGCCGATGTAAACAGACTCAAAGTTTCAAAAGTAACTGTGCTTTCTCTTGTTTTGAGGTGTTTGACTGTTAACTCTTAAGTACAGTCTCAAGACAGATCATTAGAGGTAATCACACGGACACTTCATGCTTTTGAAGAGCATCCAGGAGTCCTCAAACGACTCTGTTAAAACCACTTTTCCTGATGGATGCAGTTGGCCTGTAAATTTACATTTTAGCAATTTAGCTGAAGTACTGAAACACTAAATGTGAGATAGATGGGAAGTTGATGTTCTTAAGTGTTACACACAAATGGGAGGAAAAAATCCCTATTCGTCTAAAGGAGTGAAAAATGTTTGCTAGGAAAATTACAATTAAAGTGTAACCTAATTGTTACTGGAATCAGGTGGTGCTTGGTAAGTTTTTCTGCTGCATAAAGGATGTAATGTACTCTTTCTGCAGTAAGCCTGGGTCAGTCGGGAGACTGGCGCTGAGGAGCTGCTCTGCGCTGTACTCCAAGGCCCTGTCACCCGGCTGTTCCACTGACCATTTCACTTCTGAGTTGGGCTGACGGTTCTGCCCTTCGCAGCAGTGCAGGTAGGTCACCTGTTGCAGAACCAGCATCTCTGGGTCTGACTGCTTCTGGTTCTGAAGGGAAGGTCTACTCCTAAGAGGAGCTGATGGCTTTTAAGAGGTTCCCATGGCTCTGGTAACGTAACTTACAGCAAAGGGATGGGTTTGTAGTCAGACGGTTTTCCTAGCTCTACCTGACTATTCTCTTCCCCATCATGCACGTGTTTCATGTATTCATCAGTCTAGTATCACAGTCAGAAATGCTGTTTTCAGGTGGAGATAGAACAGTAAGCTACTGCAAATGTGGTTACACTTCTAGCCTGAATTTAGTTAGTGATGCTTCAGGAGCTTTTAACAAACTTCTTGGGTTATGTTGCTGAAGCAATACACTGTGGACTAACCTGATTTTGAAGGGGGTGATAAAATGGCAGTTGTGTAATAATTCCTGAAACATGTTTAGGAAGAGAAGTTGCTAGTGAAAGAAGTCCCCTCATCCTCTCATGAGTGGTAACATCCTGGAGATGGCAATCTGCAGACCTGTAAACTAAGAACAGATTAAAGAAACCCCTCAACAACGTCTACCTTAGAGGATAATTAAATGACATTGTCAAAGAATGGTTTGGGTTGGAGGGGACCTTAAAGATCTAGTTCCAACCCCCTTACTGTGGGCAGGGACACCTTCCAATAGACCAGGTTGCTCCAAGCCCTGTCCAACCTGGCCTTGAACACTGCCAGAGATGAGGCAGCCACAGGTTCTCTGGGCAGCCTGTGCCAGTGTCTCACCACTTCCATAGGAAAGAATTTTTTCCTAATATCTAATCTAACTCTACCCTCTTTTAGTTTAAAGCCTTTCCTCACGATTTTGTCACTATATGCCCTTGTAAAGAATCCCTCTCCAGATTTCTTGCAGGACCCTTTAGGCACTGGAAGCTGCTCTAACGTCTCCCTGGACCCTTCTCTTCTCCAGGCTGAACAAGCCCTGCTCGCTCAACCTGTCTTCATAGCAGAGGTTCTCCAGCCCTCTGACCATCTTTGTGGCCCATCTCTGCACTCTGTCGAGCAGGTCCATTTCTCTCTTGTGTTGTAGGCTCCAGAGCTCAATGCAGTACCGTGGGGGGGGTGTCTCAGGAGTGGAGGGGAAGAATCACCTCCTTCAACCTGCTGGTCACGCTCCTTTTCATGCAGCCCAGGATATGGTTGGCTTTCTGGGCTGTGAGCAAACACTGCTGGGTCAACCAACACCCCCAAGTCCTTCTCCTTAGGGCTGCTCTCAATCCATTCTCTGCCTGACCTGTATTTGTGCTTGGGGTTGCCCTGATCTTGTGCAGGACCTTGCACTTGATCTTGTTGAGCTTCCTGAGGTTTGCACTGGCCCACTTCCTGAGCCTGTCCAGGTCCCTGTGGATGACATCCCTTCCATCCAGCGTGCTGACTGCACCACACAGTTCAGTGTTGTCAACAGACTTGCTGAGGGTGTACTCACTCCCAGCATAGGCTAATTCACTCCTTGCAACTTGTACTGATAAGAATCAGGAAATGTGATCAGATAGCCTAATAATAGAGAAATTTTGGGAACTTTAGTTTATCGTTCTGCTACAGCTTCCTGTCACCTCAGGGAAAAGTTCAACTAGTAGGGGACTACATTTATTTAGTAGGTATACAAGTATGTAAATACCTTGCTGTGATGGGTAGAATGTAACTGCCAGGGATATTAAAATCATGCCCCGTAACTTAAGGAGAACAAGCTTGGGGCAGAGTCATGGCTACTGAAGAAGGAACTGGGGAAAGCTTAATCAGAAATGCATGAAGTAGCCAAGTACTGAGCATCTTTTTAACTGTCCAAGGACAAGGCAGTGGAGTCCTTCACCAGATCAGTACAGCCAGCACAGAAGGGACGCATCCTTTTGTCCTTGCCTATTAAGAAGACAAAGCTAAATCTCTCCCTGCACCAGCCATGCATGCATCTGAGCCTACTCACAGATTAAGACTTCTCTAACAGCACTAGTACAGCAGCTGGGAATAACATCCACAGACTGATTTATTACTACATTTTTTTATTTGAGTAGAAGATGTACATATCTATCAAGAGCCATGATTCCACTGTTTTCCAGAAGCATACCATAGACAGTAATTTTCTGGGCCATATAGATTTGTCAGTTTTCTTCTTCCTGAGTTTCTTCTGTCATCAGAAAACTACCCTTGCAAGTTCAAACAGAACCTGTGGAATAGCAAACGCATGGATATGAGTTTTTATTTGATTTAATAATCCTTAAAACAGCTTACAGTGTAAATGAGATCATCTAATAAACAACTATAGCTGCAATTCAAAAGTGCCTTGCAAACAGCTGAAGACCAATCCTGTTGTACAGTATAGTGCATTACATTAATAAAATAATCTTGATTCTCAAATCGTGAAGTCCACAAATTGCAGTTATTATTACATATTCAGTGTGGTAGTGGAAAAAGCCCCACCAACCTCTATGGTGATGAGTATCACTATCATCCACTCGAGGCGCAGAGCATGCTTTTCATTCAGGTGATTTCGCATCAGGTCTGTCAGCTCCATGCAGTGCTGAAGCTTCTCATTCATTACCTGCAGCAAGAGATGGCAAATACATGGCAAACCTGGATGCTGTAACTGGAATGAGATCACTAAATAGAGGAACAGTCCACAGAAAGGCTCACTGGAGAGAACTAGAAAGATGTTGACACTCTTCTGTGAAATAACAGGAAGTCCTGTAAGGCAAGGTGCACAAGCAGCAGAGGTTTCAATATGAACAAGTCTGCTGTTTCTGTAGGTCCACAAAAATAACAGAAACTTAGGTATGCATCTGCAGGAATTAAACTGCTTCCTGGTGATACCTGCTTAGGGAAACAGGCACAAGCAAAAGAAGATGCAGCTCCCTGAATGCCTCAAAAGTAACTAAATATTTAAAACTGCTGA